AAATGTATACCAAGTGGGTTCAGGAGAACTACTTGGTTATGACATGGCTGTGCAACTCTATGCAGCCACATATCAGCCGAAACTATTTGTGGGCAAAAACARCCAAGGARATCTRGGATGTCATGAAAGAGACCTACTCCCAACCCCTTAATGTTGCTAGAGCCTATGAATTGAAGTGTGAGGTTAATAACCTCAAGCAAGGAGAGAAACCAGTCTCTATTTACTTCTCTACTTTGAAATCTCTGTGGCATGAAATTGACCATCTGGAAACACTTGAGTGGGAAAGTTAGAAATATGCACAGACTTGTAGAAAGCAAGTTGAGACTAATAGGGTGTTGAATTCTTAGCTGGTCTAAATTCTGATTATGATATTGTGAGACAACAGATACTAACAAGGGACATTGTGACCTTATCTCAAGCCTACGCCTTGGTGCATAGTGAAGAGACTAGGAGAAAGGTTATGATGCAACATCAGCCCTTCCCACCAGCCTTGACAGCGGTTAAACCTAAGTCTGGGGGTGATACAGAAAGAGATATGAAGAAGGAAGGTAAGCGGGATCTAGTGTGTGAACATTGCAAGAAACCCAAGCATACTAAAGACACATGTTGGAAGTTGCACCCTCATCTAGTCCCAACAAAACTGAGGAACAAAAGGGGTAATGCTCATGTGGCTGTCAATACCGATTTTACATCCTCATCGGGCACAAAAGGCACGCTCTTAGACACCCTAGCTGTTGTTCGGGTTGCCCTAATACAGTTGGAAAAGGAGGTTGGGAATTCAGCTCAATCGTCTTAGTCATCATCAGCTCTTGCCACATCAGCCTTTGCTCATTCAGGTACTCGGGCCTTAGCTTACCATGCTTCAGCTCCAGGTAACACTGAACATTGTTGGGTAATAGACTCGGGTGCATCTGACCATATGACTAGCTTGCCATCACTGTTCACTACCTATCACTTATATTATGGTAGAGATGAAGTGTCCATTGCTAATGGTTCCCTTGTTCCCATTTCTGGCAAGGGAGACATCAAATTGTCTAATACCATTTCCTTATCCTCAGTCTCGCATGTCCCTAAGCTTGATACTAATTTGCTTTCAGTCACTAGTATTACAAATCATCAGAACTGTTCAGTAACTTTCTTCCCTGACCGATGTGTTTTTCAGGACTTGGAAACAAGGAAGGTGATTGAGACTGGCCGTGAGATGAATGGGATCTATCTGCTTGGAGAGAGTTCTCATTGGAAAGATCATGAAGATAAGAAGTCTTTTGTTTCTCAGTCTGTTAGTCCGGTTATGCTTTGGCATAATCGGTTAGGTCATTTATCATTTCGGTCTTTGAAGAGTCTGTTTCTTAATTTGTTTGAGTCAGTTCAGATGTCAAATTTGAGGTGTGAGAGTTGTGAGCTTGCAAAGTGATGTGACGTAATCCGGTTGCTCCCTGCTAGAGACGATTTGGCTGCCAACAACGACGAGAACTGGCGTAACCTGCAAGAGAGGAGTCAGAGATCCCGGGGTGGCTTACCCGGCGGGGATGCTCCGATGGCTAAGTTAGCATTCAATAGTAGTAGAGAGTTTGAAGATGATAACAGTGAGTTAGAGAGCTAGAGAGCAAAGATTACACACATCAAAACATACCTTCGCACCTGGGGGGTGAAGTCTTTATATATTGGAGTCCCCGTGGGTTGGTGGAGCAGTTCCTGGATCCTTGCTGTGATGGGATCTGCTTGCGTGTTAGGTGGGTAAAATGCCACAAACTAGCAAGATTGCCCTCTCCCGTCTGAACCGGGGAGTGGGTGAGCTAATATAGCCGTTGTGAGGTATGATCCCGTAAGACGTGGAACATGGTGGTGAGACCCTCGGGGTTGCCATGCAGTGGTCGGCCTGAACGGGAGGCGAGCTACCTGTACGGTACCGGGCTGCCTGGTGGCGAGCTTCTTGAGCTCGTGCTCTTTAGGTCCGATCGGATATGAATGCTGAAGTACCCTTGGACCGAGGTGGTCCTGGTGTGATCTTGCGTCGAGGTATACTCGTTTCGAGGTAGTCTTGACCGAGGTGGTTCATCTGTTCGGGTTCGATTTGTAGTGAACTTGGTTCCGTTATCCTGGTCGCGATCTGGTACTGAGACGATCTTAGTTCGGGGTATCCTTAGTTCGGGATATCAGAGTACCCGAGGTCGCTTTGTAGCGAACTGATCATGCTGAGCTATCACTTGGCCGAGTCATGTCCACGTGCTGATTTGGTCATGTTGAGTTGTCGCTTATGCCGAGTCATGTCCACGTGTCTCCCTGTTACGAGGTCGGGCCAAATTCCCCTTCATCACAAAGCATTGTAGAACATCTTATTCCTTGAGTAATAAAAGTAGTAATTCTTTTGATTTTGTGCACACCGATGTTTGGGGCCCGTATCACATCCCTTCTATGGGGGGGTACAGATATTTCTTGTTGTTTGCTAATGACCATACTCGTTTTTCTTGGGTTTACCTTATGCATTCTCGAGATGAGGTTCCTGCTTTGACCCAGACCTTTCATTAGATGATTTTAACCCAGTTTGGGGTCAAAATCAAAATCCTCAGATCTGATAATGCGAAAGAATACTTTACCAAGCCACTGGCCTCTTATCTACTTGATCATGGGATTATTCACCAGAGCACTTGTCCTTATAC